GAAAAACTCTAACAATTCTTGGTGGATGAGTTGGAGTCATCATTCAAGGCTTGCTTTATTTCTCTTGTGAGTCAGGATTATGTCAGTGGCACCATCAGGAAGCAACTTGAACTGGTGTTGTCTAGTGTATCCATAAATTTCTGGATATCGTGAGACAGACAGGATGTTTTTTCCCCACATAAAAGATTGCGGTTTTTTATTTTCTAGAAACTAGAGCAAGTAATCACAGAGGATGTCTCAAAACTAAAGAATGAAATGCAGCTGAAAGACACAGTGCAGAAGCCCTTCACAGAGCTAAGGCACGGACTATAGCAGGTGCTGGAGGACATCTATGTGTGACACAAAAAGCCCCCTCTTGGCTCCTTGGTCTACCTAGAGCAGGTGTCTGGCAGTATCTCTGTGCTCCAGGTACCCAAGGCACCCTGTGCGGATATCTCTCTGTGTGAGCAAATGTTCCTCTGTGTGGGCATGGCATTTTAGAAGACTGCCAAAGAATGAGTTGGTGTCAGTTTTGTTTCCACCTAAAAATTTCCCCCTATTTTTATGAACTGTTAATTACTTGAGTACTTTATAAAACGCCTATAACTTGGTGAACAAATATTATGGGGAGCCACTCCAGAAAGCACTCTTAAGTTCGAATTTCAAATCAAAAGAGAGCCTTATTTACCTGACCAGGGACTGTCATGCACAGTAGAGACTCAAGCTCTGTGAGAGGAAAGCAGCTTCCTGATCCATCTAAGGAGAATATAAACACAAAAACCATAACTCAGTGGCTTGCTTATCATCATATAAGCTAGCCAAATGCAGAAATTAAAATATTAATAAGTGGGCCTTTGGGCTCCAGGCAGTACTGGAATTTTCCAGTCAGCAAGCAAGCAGTAAAAAGAATCTTAAAAAAAAAAAAAGCATTAGCTTTGCAGTTCAGTTGACCACAGTCCCGGGTTCAAGCAGGTGCTAGACAGTCACATCCGGAATTTGGACAGGGGTTGGTGGGGTGACAATCTCAAAGTCATGTAGACCCACAAGGGCATTCAAACCAAGGATGTAGCTCACCATGACCACACTGCATCCTGAGTAGGGTACAATTTGTGGGGTACAAGGTACAGAAAAATAAATTTTTAAATAAGAAAACAGCTTTAGTTTCTATTTCCTAAAAATGGGTTCATGCAGTTCTCTCTTCATAGGAACAGTAACAAAGAATCTAAGATAGAATTTCTATAGTCACTTTTTTTTTTTTTTACTCAAATGACTACAGTGACCCTATTCCCATAATCCCAGTAAGGCGGGAATTATTGCAAGTGACTAATGAGTCTCTACTAGAGCAATTGTTTTACACAGTACTACTAACTTATTTGATGCCTACTTAAAACTATAGCTATCTTATGGCCCACACACACATTTTCACCTGTCATTTTACTAATATCTATAAACCCTATGTCTTTTATCCTATGCAAGGCTATAAGATCAAGTTGCTATGTTAATCTAACCTTATCTATATTAACCTACTTGCTTATATTTATTTATAACTATACTGACACACTGACTTATCCTCTGACATAAATCCTATGTTTTATAGTTACATGATTTTTGTACTATTACTTAGGCTTATTCCTGATGAATTTATGTCTTACTATTGCTTATCTATGTTATCTTACCTTATTCCTGTAGTCTTTGTGTCTGTTACTTATTGATTTTCTATTCTATCTTGCCTTATACCTGTAACCTATATCTATGACTTATTGATTATATTGATCAGTTCACTCCATAACACCAAATGAGGGTTTGTAGCAAAGTTTAGAGTATTAGTGTGATGACGTAGTTTTTTTTTTTTTTTTTAAGAGAGAGAAAGAGAGAATTTTTTTTTTAATATTTATTTTTTAGTTTTTCGGCGGACACAACATTTTTGTATGTGGTGCTGAGGATCGAACCCGGGCAGCACGCATGCCAGGCGAGTGCGCTACCGCTTGAGCCACATCCCCAGTCCGACATAGTTTCTTAAGGCTTCTTGCTTGTTTCATAAAAAGTTTCCATTATTATGTGTCTTAATCTTTTTGTCTCCAGCTTTTAGTTGGTTATGTTCAGAGGGGAAAAAATATCAAAGTAGTCTGAGAATCAGGGGAGGAGTTTGATTGTAGGCCTTTTTTGATAGAATAATATGTAAATTTGCTGTTTCAAGACTTTGTATCAAGAAGAACAGTTATTATGGTTTAGATGTGTTGTTCCCCCAAAAGCTCATGTGTAAGACAATGCAAGAAAGTTCAGAGGAGAAATGACTGGGTTGTAAGGGTCTTAACTCAATCAGTAAATTAATCCCCTGTTAGGGATTAATTGAATGGTAACTGAAATGTTAGGGTGTGACTGGAGGAGGTGAGAATTGGGGCATGGTTGGGAGTATATATTTGTATCTGGCCAGTGGAGTCATTCTTTTTTTACTTTGTAATCATCATGTGAGCTACTTCCCTCTGTCACACTTTTCCACCATGATGTTGTCTTAACTTAAGCCCCAAGGAATGGAGCCAGCCTTCTATGGACTAAAACCTCTGAAACTGTGAGCCCTCAAATAAACTTTTTCTCCTCTACACTTGTTCTGGTTGGATCATTTAGTCACAGCAGTTGAAAAGCTGACTAAAACAGCAATCTAATGTAATATTTGTAAGGATTCCAGAGCATTATAGAGTGCACATTATAGAGTGCACATATTCTGTAAATGGGTCACAAAAGGGTTAAAATATGCTAAGTTAGTGTCGTAGTGTTATAATAGATCCTTAATTTGATGCTTCTTTTTATTTTAGTAAATTTATGTTTTGTGTGGTGTTTACTGCTTTTGAGGGGAGCTGTATTAGGACATGATATGCTGGATGCCTGGTAGTAATGAACCAGTGTGAATAACAAAGCAGACCCTGTCTCCCTAGCATGACAGCTGGAACACCAGTGAAGCACCAGGGGTCAAAGCTCACTCTGATTCTTATACTTTTGAGTTTTGTTTTGTTTGTTTGTGTTATTGTTTTAATTTTTGGAGAAGAGACAGTTTACATGAAGGAATATTCTTGCCCATGGATTTGATGCCAGGTATCTAGAGCCTTGGGATTCTGGGTGACCTGCATAGTGATCCTCAGCTATGTGACCTCCACAGAGTGCACAGAGTGTCTCCACTGGGGAAGGTACTTTCCCTTTCATTGAAGGAAGTGTTCCTTTCTCTGTTTTATACATCTCTTATTAGACTGCATCCCTTTACCCAGTATAAACACTCTGCTTTCTTTTGAATAGTAGGTCTGTGGGTCAGTGGCTTGGTTCATTTTGTTCTCTCCAGCCTTGAAGATTCTTCCCCAACATGCGCAGACATCCACTCATGTTCCTGGTCTGGCCTGGATGCCATCTGATTCATGAAGGCTCCAAATACCCTTCCCATTTCATCCCAGGGCACAGGACTTTTTATTCCTCCCATTGTCCTTCCTTTTTTCTTCTTTATGTGTTAGTGTTTCCTATCTAATTCTGTACCCCTTGCTACATTGTATGCCCATAGAAATTGGGAATTATTCCCTTGAAGATATAAGACCATATATTTTATATGATACTTTGTTCTCGCTTCAAGTATGATACTTTTTACTCATTTTGTTCCAGTGCTTTGTGGATGATATTTGGCATGTGGACCTATAACCTATAATTTCCTTCCTAAGACCAGTTGATTCCCTCAGTTAGAACTTATAGGTTAAAGTGGGGTGAATGTAGGTTACAGTGGGGTGCGGTGGTGCATGCCTGTAATCCCAGTGGCTCCAGAGGCTGAGGCAGGAGGATCACAATTTTAAAGCCAGCCTCAGCAATTTAGCAAAGCCTTAAGCAACTCAGTGAAACCCTATCTCTAATTAAAAAGTATAGAAAAAGGGCTGGGGATGTGGCTTAGTGGTTAAGTGCTCCTGGGTTCAATTCCAGGTACCCCCACCCCCCAAAAAAAGTAAAGGTTAAAGCTTTCAAGTTATTTTTATTCACATTATAAGGATTTAACCTGGTCATCTTATGCTAATTGGAAGCTCTGATTGGCAGCTTTAAATTTCTTGATTAAAAATCTAAGTTTGGGGCAGTCTTTGAATGATAAAGGAGATTTTGGTAAAAAGATTGGAAACTGTTCTACTTGGTACTTAGTGAAAATATTTTGAATTATTGTATATGCAGGTTATTGTCATTTCTTTTTAAAATATATTTTTAATTGTAGATGGATACATTATCTTTATTGTACTTATTTACTTTTATGTGGTGCTGAGGATCTAACCCAGTGCCTCACATGTGCTAGGCAAGTACTCTGCAACACCAAGCTGTCATTTCCTTACATTAATTCACAAGTTACCTGTCAAATAACAAATTTTTCAATTGAAAAAGTAAACTAGTCTTAAAAATCAGGTTATAAATATCAGCATTAGAACTCTTTAATATTTAAATCATTGGAAAACATGTAGCAAAAAAAGATGATAATTAATTAATATTAACATATCTACAAAGTTTAAAAACAGTTCTGGAAATAATAAAAATGAAAAATAATTTTTTAAAGCAAAGAATAAATAAATGTTCTCCACTATTTTATTACTGTTTTCAATTATACTTCTCATAAAATTTATAATTTTTAGGGTTTACAGCAGTCTTTTTTAAATGCTGTGTAATTTTCACATTTGCATATGAAAATTAAGTATTGGATTCAATAAATGCTTTGAAATTTTATTTTTCTTTGTTCTAGATTGGGCTCCCCAGAAAGTTGACTCTGTGGGAGATTCTTACACAGGTGGCTTAGTGGGGAGAATTAATTTGGAACAACCTTTGGAAAGTTGAGAGAGCCACTGGAGGTGGATGAGGGACAAAGCTGAGCTGCAGTAATGCTGTTACAACAGAACACTCAGAAGACTTCAGGGAGACTCAGCAGCAATGCTCCTTGGGGCTGTCCCAGATGAGCCAAGGAGTTCAGGCACCGTATTTCTCCACTGCATCATTGGATGCTGGGTAGCCCCTAAGAGGGCTGTCACTGGAAGCTTGTAGGATCCCTTAAGACCCTGGGGAGGGCCCACCTCAGTCCTGAAAAGGCACTATGGGTGGAGGACTGGGCTGTATTGTGCAGTGTCCACTTTCTCAAAGAGTTACCTATTACAAAAGCTCTTTACAGGTACTGCATCCTCTTTCCTTTTCTTTTACTTCCCTCTTTTTTATTGCTTATCTTGCAGTATGCAAATCTAAAAACCTGAGACTGTTTGAGAAGGGAAACTGAATAGAGGGTGAGAAAATACTCAAGTGCTTGCTGTCTGCATATGGGCTGAAGGATATGCTCTGGACTCTTCTTGCTTTGATTTGGATTTCAAAGAGATGCCCTTGCTCATCATTGTTATAAGATCATTGTCATTGTTTTAATCAGCTTTTTCACTGTTGTTACCAAAAGACCTGACAAGAACTATTTCAGAGGAGGAAAAGTTTATTTTGGTTTCAGACCATTGATGACTAGCTCAGTTGGTCTGGGCTGGAGGGAAGTGAAACATCATGGCAGAAAGATGTGGCAGAGGAAAGCAGCTGAGGACATGCCACCTGGAAGCAGAGAGAGAGAAACTGCCTTTACCACAGACAAAATATGCATGCCCCCTGGAAAAAACATAAGCACGCCCCCTGGAACTGTGTCCTCCAGCTACACCCTACCAATTTACAGTCACCATGAAGTTAATCTGTATTAGAGGATTAATACACACATTAGATTAAGACTTTCATAACCCAATCATTATACCTCTAAGCTTTCTTGCATTGTCTCACATGAGCTTCTGAGGGACACCTAATATCAAAACCATAACAGTCATCTAGAGAAATCTAGGTGTGAGATAAAACTACTATATAGGAAATGCAGTTTGTAACTTACAGAAAACTGATTAATGGTGGGGATGGCAGGACTTGTAAAATTTAATTGTTAATATTGCCCTTTATAAATGGACTATTATAAATGCTAATTTTTCTCTTATTTGCAGTGCCATATCATTGTAAAAATACTTGTTAATTTTTGTTCATTAGTGTTGAAAAATAATGTTGAAAGATGTTTGACTAAAGTGCCTCATTCAAAAGAGATGGGAGAAGTTAGATTTATATGACCAAAATTATAAAATATTAAAATATGTGTATGTATACATGTGCAAATGTACATTAGAGTAGATATTTAACTTAATATTTAGGCAAATTCAGCATATTTATGTAAATATTCAATTTAAAATTACTTTTCAAACATTTTAAACTTAGCCAGTATTGATATGCCTATAATTTTCTTCTGGTACTACTGTCACATGTCTTTTAGTTTATATGGTCTAGTATTATGCTACAAGTATTGTTTTCTCATGTTGCTTTACTTAAATCAAAAATGCAATAACTATTTGCAGGATTGTACATTTTTTCTTCCTCTTGTCTTCCTGTAAGCTTGACTCTAATGATTATTTTCATGCTCTCTCTTTATTTACAGCTTTTCTTCTTGTTACCCCACTATCATCCTCTTATCTGTGACCTTTCCAGGTGGTTTAGGAAGTCTAATCCTCAGGTGCCTGTAAACAGGGAAGCAACAGTCTTTATACAATAAATACTGTGAAATAGCTTTGTTACAGTTGTTGATTTTCTCCTGTCTTTGTCTCTGTTTTCAGGCTATCCTGACAACAGCTCTGGCTCTCAATGTGAAAATCCCCTGGGAGGGTTTCAGGGCTGCCTGAAGCTTATCTCCATTGGCAGCACAGTGGTGGATCCCATCTCAATACAGCAGGGGGCGCTGGGAAACTTCAGCGACCTTCAGATAGACTCCTGTGGCATCACAGACAGGTAGGGGCCATCCTAGATCATTATAGCACACCTGTTTCAGTTTTTTTTTTCTTTCTTTTAATTAAAAACAGGCACAACTGTAAAAACACACTTTTTTCATGTCTTTCATGACAGCAGGCTTACCTCTTAAAGATTCCACAACCTTCCACTGGCTAGGGATTGAGTCTTCAACACTTAGACCTTTAGGGAATATTTAAGATCCAAACTGTAACACATTGAAAATAAGAGAACAACATCCTTGGTTTTAAACAGTTGTTCCTTTCAAACAGTGTTGTCTTGGAAGACACACTCATGGATTTTCCTTTCATATACCTGTAAATCACTTAAAGTCTTACAGAGTATTACTGATGCTTGTAATCACTGATGTGAATAAATACTGACAAGAATAGATATTCTTAAAAATTGTCCCATTACAGAAAACAGATTAGACTATTCTAAAAAGATAGTGGATCAGTGAGGGCCAGTAAATCAAAGTCATTTGTGGTTAGCTCCCTTTTCTATAGGGAAAATGAGAAGTAAATCTTGTTTCAAGAAAGGTTGATGCTTCAGGGAATTTTAGCAATGTTGTAAGCAAAATAAAGAAAGAGATTCCCCAGTTGCCCCAGAGCTAAGCACTGCAGTAGTTCAATGAAGATGATAAGAAAAGCAAAGGTTTATCACTATAGTATAATAAAATTGTTAAGCATTGTAATTTTATTCAAGTTTTCTTCTTTACCATATTATCTAACTTTTAAATCATTTTGCCTAAAAGGATAAGCTTAGCCATATAGACTAAATTTTTTTTCCTGTACCAGATATACCCAGTTTAATGCCTTTTCTGAAGCAGGGTGTGCAAAAGGTTTATATTGAATACATAAACAAATTCCTTAAATCTTTCCACATCCATGCCTCTGAATCTCTTGAAATAGCTATGTAAAATACTTTGTACAAGAAGTTTACTCTAAATTTATCACTAATTGAAATTTCATGTCATAGCCAATAAACTTTAAGTCACAATTGCAATTTGGCAATGTGTTCATAAAGACCATATTTCTCCAGTATGTGAAATATTGTCTCATATTTTTTAAATGCAAATGTTTATGTTGTCATGTTCACAGTTTATTCTTTTGTAGTGAAATCAAAGAGACAAATAATTTTAGTCAGAAACCTACAATCCTGATTTTCAGAATATAGTTTTTTGGGGGTGTGGGGGAGATGGCAAAGAAACTGCCATCATTCATAAGGAGTAACTGCAGCCAGCTCTGGTGCCCAAGTCAGGAGAGGATCCAGACATCAAATCATGGGGTGCTGATTTCCTTTAAGAATCCATGTCACTTACTTTATTAGTCCAAGGATTGCTACAGAGCATGGATTTTATGAAGTACATTTCCTTGTTCAACATATAAATATTCTGGCAATGATGGACAATAATTAAGAAGAGAATTAAATGAACAGAAACAACAACATCCGCTATTGTTGTAAAGACATAAAATAACACTGACATTGGTATCTTTAGGATAGAGCTCCTACCCAGGGTGACAACTGTCCAGTGGGCTAGAGGTCAAAGGTTGGAAGTCATATTTCACTGGCAGTTGCCTAAGTTATCAGTATAATTGTGGAACTCACAGGAAGTTGCTTTAGTATAGCCAGAATTACCTTATAAAGTGTGGTGAATTCTCAATATTTGTCTTATGTAAAGAATCTGAGCCAGGCACGGTGATGCACACCTGTAATCCCAGTGGCTCAGGAGGCTGAGGCAGGAGGATCAAAAATTTAAAGTTAGTGAGGCTCTGAGCAACTTAGACTATGCCTCAAAAAAAAAATTTAAAAGTTGGGGCTGGGGATGTGGCTCAATGGTTAAGCATTCCTGGGTTTAATACCTGATATAATATATGTATATATATTTATGAGTATACATGAGCATATGTATAAATGTCACCAAAATGGGAAGATTTTTCCATATCACACTTAAAAGTCCTTAGAAGTGTATACGTATGTATGTACCTTTCCTTAGAGATTTCTAGAATATTAGAGAATCTTCTTTAAGTAAAAATTGAGTTAATGGCTATTAAGTTGTTATGAAAATAGCCAAGAGTACTTTGTATGGTAATATTGTCACTAATTGTAAGTTTTTATGGTTCTGATGGTTTAATGTCTAAAAATATGCCCTCATTCTAATAAGAAAAACATTGGTTTTTCTCTTATTCTTTAGGCCATACCTATTAACTACATGTCCAATACACCATAAAAAATAGATTCGTTTAAAAACAGGACAAAACAAACATCCCCAACCCCAGGCTTTCACCAGCCCTCTGCACTGCACCAAAACATCTACCCAGACCACTTCTCTGCCTGCCAAGAACATTCATATTTGCTCATATACAGTCATAATAATCAGGGGATTTTATAACATATCCATCTGGCAAAGGAATTAATAATTACTGATATATGGACTATTCCTGGCTCAAATGACAAAAAAGATTATGAAAAGATGTTTATAATCTGACAGGAACGTAAATACCCTTCCGGAGCCAAATCAGGATGCATCTACATGGAGTGATCTGTCTTCTGGTGGTTCCAAGAGATGCTTTATGGAGAAAATGGCCAGTTGCTTTGGCATGCAAGTGTGTTAACTTTGTGTTAGCTTTCCTACCCACAAAGAGGAAGAAAAATTTATTTGTGCTCATGATATTAGAGATCTTGGTCCATGGTTGGCCAGCTCTGTTGCTCTGACCCTGAGGTAAGGCAGAGCATCACGGTGGAAGATCAGGGCAGAAGAAAGCTGCTGAGCACATGCTGAGACAGAGGGAGAGAGAAGGGAAGAGTCCCAGGATAGATATTGTGCAAGGTCATATTCCCAGTGACCTACTTCCTCCAGCTAGGTCTCACTCCATTCAGTCCATTCAGATATCAGTGGGTTAATCCAGTGATGAGAGCAGAGCCCTAATCATTGCCTAAAAGCCCCACCTCTGAACCTTGCTGTATTAGGGACCATGCTTCCTATACATGAAATTTTGGGGACATTCCATATTTGAACCATAATAGGCTTCAAGGATGATAGTAGTGGAAATGGGAAATTGTATATTATACCAATTGTGTTTTGGATATTAGGATTTCAATTTCCTCTAACTCTGGTCACAGTGTTTTTTCTTATCTGTCGGTGGGACCATCATTGCCACCTCTTCCCATCTGCATTGTCTCAGGCTGAGTATTCATCTTCTCCATGCCAACTCCAATAGCACATATTGTACATTTTATTTTTAAACAAAAAATTGAAAATCACTACAAACTTGGAGTTCTTTATTACTTTTTAAAAAATTGTGTTCCAGAACACTTTAAGGTGAAATATAATATTATTTATTCCTTTAACAATGATTTTCAAACTATTAAAAAGTGTGGAATGTACAGAGTTTGAAAATACCAGAAAGGAAAACAATGAACTGTTTTGTTTTTTCAAATTGATGGTAAAGGGGCCTGACTCTGCCCTAGTAAGGCCACCCCCATGGGTTCTGAAGTGCAATGTTTGAGCTACCAGCACCCTGAAGAAGTTGTGCCTTGATACAGCTTAGGAATTGACATACCAGGGTCCAGGGACTGCTGCTTGCTTTTGTTAATAATGTTTAATTGAGACACAGCCATACCAGTTCATTTGCATAATGTCTATATTTACTTTCTCCTAATAATTGCAGAGCTGTGTGGTTTTGGCAGAGACTATGTGGCCTACAGGCCTACAATATTTAGTATTTTTCCCTTTATAGAAAATTATGCCAATCCATTGTGTAGTAAATAGGATGCAATGAAAGTTGGTGGGGAGTGGGAGGTTCTCTGGCACTATGTGGAGAGCTGTCTCATTTCTGTTGGGTCAAGACATGCTGTTCAAGGAAAAGGAAGAGATGCCTGAATGGGGCAGAAGGTAGGTAAGTCAATTCAGTTGGAGGCAGGCAGTAGAAGTAACAGCCTTGTCCAAGTCCCCAGTGCTAGGGGGAGTCTGACCCCTGTGTGGATGGCTGGTGTAGAAGTTCTGTGTTGAGGAGATCAGTGGGTGTTGGAGATGGGGCTGCCTCTCCAGTCATGGGATACATCAGGCTAGAGGCCTGGGTGCTAACTTGAAGGCTTAAATATTCATCTGAGATGCCCTGGGAAATTGCTAAAGGACTTGAAGTTAAGAAGTCACTTGTGTGTGTGTGTGTGTGTGTGTGTGTGTGTGTGTGTGTGTATAAGCAAGACTCTGAGCACAGAGTCTTGACACATGACCTGGGTGCAGAAAACAGAGAGACAGTGTATGATTGGAGGCCAGGAAACCTGGTAAGACGCTTCTGCAACTTCTCTCAAGTGAAAAATAAGGATAAGGTAAACTAGGGAACCAGAAAATATGAATGATTTACAAACTCTTTGGAGAGCAGAATCACAGGTTGACTTGCTGCAAGCCTTTGGGGTAATGGCAAGGGAACAGTCAAGGCTAATCCCACGTAGAGAGCTGGTTAAAGGCTAGTGCCATTCAGTAGAATGATGATGTGGGAGAAGCAGGATATTTGGAGGGGCAGGACCCAGAGATTCAGCTATTAAATCTTGATATAGTGGGAGGACTACAGAAGCAAACAACCTTAAAGTTGAGAAGAGACTGAGACGTGTCACCTACAGGAGTTTTCACCTAAAAGCATAGATGTATTTTTTAGCTTATCATTTGAGAGAAGATGATCCTGCTTCTACCCAGTCGTTTGCAAACAAGACCTCTCTCTGCCTATTCACGAAATGGCTCATTGGTGGTGAACTGAATTTTTCCTCTTAATTTTGAGTGTCTTTTCTTCTTAGAATTTTCTGTTGTTAGAACTGAATACCACAGCCTGGGTTTTTTACAAAAAATAGGGGTTTAGCTGAGTGTGGTGGTACATACCTGTAATTCCAGTGACTCAGGAGGCTGAGGCAGGAGGATCACAAGTTCAAGGTCAGCCTCCACAACTTAGCAAAGCCCAAGCAATTTAGCAAGACCCTGTCTCAAAATTTAAAAATAAATAAATAAAATAAAAGAATAGAGGTTTATTTAGCTCACTGTTCTGGAGGCTTGGATGTCCAAGATGGGACAGTTGCATCTAGTGAGGGACTTCTTGCTGCATCAGCACATGGTGAGACAGCAAGTGTTTCACCTCTGGTCTCTCTTCCTCTTCTTATAAAGCCATTAATGCCATCATGGTGGACCCACCCTAAGGACATTGTCTAACTGTAATTACCTCCCAAAGCCTCACCTCCAGCTACTCTAACTGTAGCCAACATGTAAATTTGAGGATAAAGTTTCCAACCCATGAACTTTTGGGGGACATGTTCCAACCATAGCAGCTGCTATGAGCAAATCTATACACCGTCTCCCACTTCAAGTCCTGTAAATATATGCTGGATAATTTAACTGACTGCCAGAATCAGCTCTCCACCAGGCTAAAAACCCTGGTCTCCTAACAATTTTTGAAACATGAAAGTATAAAGAGGTATCTGAATCCTTGTTCCCCTTTTCTATATCAACTCTGGTTGACATCTTCTTGGAATCTATACATGTTCAGGACCTTGCAGTGTTTGGAGGAGCCATGAGGTACTTTCTCATGGACTCTGACTGTTCTTGGAGCAGACTGATATTTCCTCACTGCTGTGTAAACAGTGCCAGGGTGCTGAGCACACGGCTCCCCATGAACCCCAGATCTTTGGCAGTGAACTATATTCAAGTTAGATAAGATACTCATAGATGTACCTACACACTCTCACAGATGTATTTATGCATACTCATGTGCAGGTACATTCACACAAGGGCACACACAGGCACACACTCAAGCACACTTACACACACTGGTATACTCTTACAATCGGCACACAGGCACATATAACTTGGGCACACTAACATTCCAGCATATGCATGTTCAGGCTCTCACATAGGCACACACCCAATGTGGTGGGGTACACTGACATGTTGGATTTTTCTCATTGTATCTGATATCTGGTCCTCTCTGTGGACTCACGATCTAGCCAGGAATGTATGGACTGGGGTTATGGGAGAAGCCCTCAGGCCTGGAGGAGGCCATTAACTGCAGCCACTGAAGTAAGAGCTTCAGAGGGCCTGGTGTTGGTGGTAGAGGTAAGCAGGTTGGTCTACCCCCCAGCCCTGGGGATGAAGAGACATCACTGTTTTCTCCTGTGAAGTATACCTTCCAACCCTTAACACTGAATCTGGCTTCTTTCCCTTGAAATCTGGAAGGCCTCTTGTCAGTGTTCATATGTGTCCTCTTATAAGAAATTGGGTTTCATTCTAGTGTCAGTGTCCCACATGACAAAGCAGGATTAACTTTGACAGAGGTATCCCAAAGTTTCTACTCCTTCTACTCCTTGGAAGAAGCAGACATCAAGCTCAAGAGGAGAATTGGCAGTTTTGTAACTTTTGCAAACAGTTGAGGCTTTTGTGTTCTGTGCTCATAGTTTAAACTCCATGAGGAAATGAGTTATGGGCCTCACCTGGACCTGGACACCATTCTTCAGAGTCACAGTCTTGTCCTTCACATTATAGACAAGGGAGTTCACTCCTTCAACCTTCTTCCTCATCCACCATTTTCAGAGTCCTGCTCAGGGATATTTCTGACCAGCCATAAAAGATCAGGATGGTGGTATTAGAGTGAGGCACTCTGTTCCTCAGGGGAGAACCATAAAGACCAGGCCTCAGATACAGGATGCCCTCAGCCTCCCCCTTACAAGCTCCCAACACTGGGGCTGAAAAGGAATTGTCATGCCAGGTCTGGGAAGTTCACCACCACTTACCACATCTACGCTATGAAGAATGGCCACTCCACCATCCTGGCTAGCAGCACCTTGCTGGTTCTACTGTGGGTCTGCCATCTCAGGAAGCACATAAGTGTTGCAAAGCTAGAGCTGAGGGATATGGAGACCAGAGCTCCTGCCCGAAGCTGTAGCTCTCTAGTTAACATCCTGTGCTTGGCATTGATACCACTTGTATAATCCATATAGAAGGAATAATGTCAGAACTACAGAGAACAGCTAAACCAGACTAGAACTAGTTCAGGTTTTTTAATGTTTGGTATGAAATGTCTGGCTTTTGGTATCTCTGCTATATTTTGTTCTGTTTCCTTCCACTGCTATGTAATTGACCTGCTGACTTTCAAGGTATGGGTATCCCATCTTCAGCATTCACTCTGTAAAGTAAGCTGAACAGGCTTTTGTATGAATCTCATAATATAAATGTGACCTTCACTGGTATAAACTGATTATCAGTGTATTCTCAACATCGATCACTTTAAGATTAACAATCTGTTTTGAACACTGTCAGAATTTACAAATAAGCATTATCCCAGTAGACTCTCAAAATCAAATACATATTTCTTTCTTAAAGTAAAAACAAATTTGCCTGTTTCCTATTTTTATTGACATTGAAGATTTTCCCTTTTTTTTTTTCAAGGAAAACCAAAGATTAGAAGATAATCTGGAAGGCCTCTTGTCAGTGTTCATATGTGTCCTCTTATAAGAAATTGGGTTTCATTCTAGTGGGTGTGGGAAAATGTGTGTCTGTCTATGGTTGTTGCAGGCAATTTATATCCTGATTATGTATGAAATCAATCTTATGTTTTTATAAGAAGCAAACAGTTTTTCTGATAAAAAACAAAGTGTTGAAAATGTATCTGTCACAAATGCATGAGAATCTACTGCACTTAGGAACTTGTGGTTGTGTCAAGTGACCTTGAGGACAAACTCCACAGTCTTTGGTCCTGTTGAAATGTTTCCGTTGACTATTGTCCTTCATCTTTCCCTGTGCATGCACATTTTATTATGACTGAATGTGGGAAACAGCAGTGTGTCTGTCTGTCCTTCTTTAGGTGTTTGCCCAGCTATTGTGAACACGGGGGTGAATGTTCCCAGTCCTGGGACACCTTCTCCTGCGACTGCACTCACACTGGCTACGTGGGAGCCACCTGCCATTCCTGTAAGCCACACAACCCACTGGCTCTCCTTTCTGTTCTTATAACCCATTCATTCTTTTGTGCATATGTGTTTGTGTCCATGCACCCATGTACCAGAAAACAGGAAGCAATAGTCTTTTACAGACTTGTTTTCAGCTGCTTTATTTTTGATCAATTTTATTTCCCATTGATGTCAAAGTAGCTTTAAAAATTCATAGTATCAAATAGAAGAACATAGAGAGCAAAAAGGAAAAGAAAAGAACCAGCAAAGGGAAAATAAGTGTAGTAAAATAAAATATAGCAGGAGGTTAAAAATAAATAAACTGCACCCAGAACACACAATGTGAGCTGGGTGTGGTGGGACATGCCTATAATCCCAGCGGCTCAGGAGCAGAAACAGGAGGATTGTGAGTTCAAAGCCATCCTCATCAACAGCAAGGTGCTAAGCAACTTAGTGAGACCCTGTCTCTAAATAAAAAACAAAATAAGGCTGGGTATGTGGCTCAGTGGTTGAGTGCCCCTGCGTTAAATCTCTGGAACAAAAAAAAAAAAAAAAGAAAAAAAGAAAAAGAAAAACAAACAATGTGATATCTTGTTCTGTTCCTTGATCTGGGTACACATATACTTCTCAGTTCTCAGTTCTTTCTTCTCTTCTAAAGAAAATGTGTGGCCAGGATGTCAATATAAAATTGAATGAGGAACACCTCAGAAGTACCAGACGAGGAGTAAATGTGGCAGTAGTTCTAGAAAATGAAGAGAAAATAGTGAACTTTCAGGTCCCACCCAGTCTTGCTGTTGTTTGATAGTGAAGGAGATGGAAAGAATTAATATCTGCAGAATTTATCAAATGCATGCACAGTTTTAGTCCTCTGCATGTTTTTACTCCTTGAATACTCAAAACAACCATAGGAGATAAGAGTTATTATCACCTACACTTAGCACTTGGGGGAGGAAGGAGGCTGAGGAGATTGACAGCAGACTTACAGCTCTAAGACTGGAGCCAGGACTGTCAAATACCACTCATCTCCTTCCTCAAGAATTATTCTCTGTCACACAGATATAAACACAGATTATTTGGTCACAGTCACAGAGTTAACACTGAGATGGTCCCTTTTACTTACAGCTTACCTAGTTTTCAAGCTAATAAAATCTTATTGACCACTAATCATTAGTTTCTAGAAGCATATGACAGAGCCCATGAAATACTCATGTTTTTCTAATTATTAGCTTTTGCTTCTATTTGTTTTAGATTTGTTTGTTTGCTGGTTGGTTGGTTGGTGTTTTAATTTGTGTGTCACTCCTGATATTTGGGGTCCTGTCTCCATAGCACTTCCCCTCTCCCTTGGTCTTTAGAGGAGGAGTATGACATTTCATGTCTGCTTCCTTCAGTCCCTCCTGATGGGGGGGATACTAGCATTGTATCATTAAAAAAAAAAAAAAAAAAAAAACCCTTCCGTGGCCCTGGTGCAGTAGTGCACACATGTGTAAAGCTGATGCAAGAACACTGCCAGTCCAAGGCCAGCCTTGGCAACTTAACAAGACTCTCAGCAACCTACTGAGATCCTGTCTCAAAATAAAGACTACAAAGGACTGGGGCTAGTGGTAGAACACATTCCTAGCATGTGCAAGGCCCTGGATTTAATACCCAGGACTGAGTGGGGATAAGAAAAAAAACAACTATTCCTTGTGAATTAATTTTATTCCGGTACAAACTATGAGGTGCATAATACAGAGAATGGATTGTCATAAATCTAACTTTGCAGGAACTGAATCTCAGGGAACTAGTGTGGGTTTGGAATGATACCCCTGGGTCTCCAGATGTGGGATTTCCACAGAGAAGCAAAAGAAGGTGACTCCTCCCCCCCTCTATATCCAGTGATCAGTTCCACTCGCATCCTCACTGAGTTTTACATTGGTAGGTAAGAATTTGCTAAGGAATGTCTCCTTTGAAAGGAGTTAGACATCTAACCTTGGGCTAGGGATTTGGTCACAGTCACAGAGTTAACACTGAGATGGTCTCTTTTACTTACAGCTCCCTCATCACATTAGAAAAGTGTCTTAGACAAAGCAGATACCAACTAAATGTGTTTGTTATCAGTAGCTGAGATCTAAACATAATTCTAAGTACCACTGAGAAGAGAAACTTGACTGATAAATGTAAAGGGTCTTCTCCCTGTGGCACATGATTTAGTTTGTTAATGAATTGATTTTATTGTGATTCTCTAGGATATATCAAAAGAAAGTTGGATATTGCCAAATCAAAACCAAGTGATCATAAAGCCACTATTTTTATGCGGAATAGAGGACAGGGATGGGGGTTCTAAGTTTAAAATTATTGCATATTTACATTCCCGTTTATATTATTTTGTTTCCTAATTATTCTTCCTCTTTTTTGTTCTTCTAGGCAATTTGATATGTGTATGTATCACTGTGAGCTGTGTTCCTAGGTGGTTATTGGCATGTTTGTTTATTTATGGAAACGTGAATATTAGTGGCCCAAAGCCAAGAATGTTGAGAAAACAATTTATATTTTTTATATTTCCATCAGTTGGAGATGGTAATAGTTGGACTCTTGATTTGGTGGCCTCTGATTTAGACCCTTGACCATATTTAACAAAGAACATTTTCTTTTATAGTATCCTTGAACTAAGCAGACATTTCTTTTGCTTTTATTCTGTGAGATGAGAGAAAAATAACTTTTATTCTCCTCCCTGGGTCATTCTTAACTATTTGAAAGGGGGGGAAAAAAAAAAAAAAATATATATATATATATATATATATATATATATATATATGTGTGTGTGTGTGTGTGTGTGTGTGTGTGTGTGTGTTACATAATGTATATAGGTTATATATCAGTACATATATAAAATATACACACATAATATATATAAACACGTGTGTGTGTGTGTGTGTGTGTGTGTAGAGAGAGAGAGAGAAAGGGCCATCGCTGTGGAAAGGCCTAAGTTTATATCCTATTAGTATGTCTTGTCTTGTGTCCCTTGCTGAACCACTGCCCAAGTCTGTCTTTGTGGACACTTCATCTGGCTTTTGCATTTCTTTCCTAGCAGTTGTAACCTGCATTTGAGGCTTTCCAAAGGGTTTCCTGACAAGGCAATGTGTGACCCACACTAGGTTGACTACTCATTTAAAATTGCTAAGTATCAATTAGGTTCACCATCTGCAGATTTTAATCTCTTGTCTTGTACATAGCAAAGTATTTGTGTACAAATTAAAAAGTCAGTCATGAATTAGAATAAAGCGAAATTTTAAAAAGTCATGTCAATATTTTGATTTTTTAAATTTCAATTTGCAAAGCATTTAAGGAAGTGTCTTTTTGGAATGAATTTAAAATGGCATTAAAAGTTGCTGATATGTAAAATTCAACTCATTGGAAAAATGTGTTTTAAATATGAATTGTTTTAAGTGAACAAAAGATGTAATTACTGAGTAAAGTTTTTTAAAAAAAATCAATGATTATTAGATAATAACAACATTTAGGCAGGTGTACTTGAGATGCTTAAAAATATTATGAGGTAGAACTTGTACTAGACGAGAAGTCTGGTTTGCTTGATTTTGAAAATAAGAATGTGTAGGATTCTGATTCACAGTAGTATCTCCAAATCTTTCACTCTGTGCTTCTGAATCTTTTTGCTGCCTGATTGAGATGGAAGAACACCCTCCTAGAGAAGATATGACCAAGGGCAATGGCAGGATGAATGTCATGGGAGAAAAGTCCCATGCCATGAGCAGCAGAGAGGAGCCCGTTCCCTCACAGCCCGTCTGTGATACTGTGTATTCTTTGCAGCTCTGTATGAGCGATCATGTGAAGCTTACAAGCACAGAGGAAACTCTTCAGGCTTCTACTTCATAGACTCAGATGGAAGTGGCCCTCTGGGACCAGCTCTTGTGTACTGCAACATGACAGGTATGTTAAGCTCTTCTGTAATAGTTAAATTCCTATGTGTGTTTGCTGTGTACAAAACCAAAATGAAGAAAGTCAAGCATTTAACTTGCTTATTTAAGTTGACATGCTTATTTAGGTGTGCATTGTGATTGTAATGTGATTGCCAAAAAGTGTTAAAAAATGTTATAAAGCAGTTAAAAGGTGGTGGTTAAGAGTTGTGTCATTATTTTCTGGAAATGTTCTTTCCTTGTGAAATAATTACCACTAAGTCTTTTGCTTATTAGTCTAAAGCAAAAAGGATGAATGATTTTTTACATCCATAAATGTCAAAAACTTCAGAGAATGTTCACTCTCTTTTTTCATGATGATGTAGATGGAGCTTTTGGCCTCACACCTGCTAGGCAAATGCTTTACAGCTGAGCTTCATTCCCAGTCCTCTATTCTCTTTCTAAATTTATGAAAAAGTGCTTTTTGCTGTCTTTGAATCTTTCTAAAATATATATTTTTATCCTGGATTTATTGGGGTATAATTGACAAAAAATTATATATATTTAAAGTAATCAACCAGATATTTTGAAATATGTATACATATTGAAATGCTTGCCTTCATTAAGCCAATTAGCATAGTCATCACCTATGCCATTTATAGTTCTTTCTTTTTTTTCTCTTCTTTGGTGAGACATTTGAGATCTACTATCTTAGTAAATAATGAGTATAGTGTGGTTATAATCACATTGTACATTACATTATCAGGGCTTATTCATCCTTCATATCTGAAACTTTGCACTCTTTGATGAACAGATCTCTATTTCCCTCTTGCCCATCCCCAGAAACCACCGTTCTACTCTGTACTTTTAAGGTGCCTTGTTTAGGGGCTGGGGATGTGGCTCAAGAGGTAATGCGATTGGCATGCACGGGGCTCTGGGTTTGATCCTCAGCACCACATAAAATAAGATAAAAATGTTGTGTCCACCAAAAACTGAAAAATAAATATAAAAAAATGAGTGCTTTGCTTAGATCCACATAATCACATGAATTTTTCTGGAAAAAAATGATGTTTCTAAACATACGTACTTCATGTAACCATGTATTCATATGCAACAATGTGTGACGAATAGCTTCTTTACCTAGAAAATCAGTTTTAAAATAATTGTGGTAGATAACAATAAATACATATTGTACATAAATCCTTGACTCTTTCTATGTGACATATGCTCCTGCAAGTATAGGAGCTCAAAAAATCAAGTCTAGTGGATGATAACTACCCTAACTTAATTGGTGTGAGCCATGGCCTCTCTGAACATACAGCACTGTCCATTCCTTTGTAACTGTGTCTGTGCATAAGCTTTCCTTCTCAACATCATTTCACCAACCAAAAGGGGCAGCCCTCCTTTGGAGAACTGTTTCTGTATTACCCTAATGGTATAGAAACAAGTACTTCAATCTCTGCATAACTTGACCCTACACATCTGAAATAATGCTCAGAAAAAAATCAACTCTAGATGATACTAAGGTAATTATGACTTAGCTATAATTTGGTATCCCTGTTATTACTACTATATACTGTCTTGATAAAGTTGTAACTTCCACAAGGAAGGAATTATCCATGGGTTAATTTATGAAGGTTTCAAATAGCTTAAAAAATCCTGATGTAGTTTTTATACCTACTACCTCTTCATGGGTAAAACAAAGTCTGAACATTTTGGCAGTGACTAATCATACGATGCAATTAGCATTAAGATGAAATATATATATATATATATATATATATATATATATATATATATATATATATATATATATATATATATTCCTTTTTGAGTGTGTACCAGTCAAGTGTGAGAGCTCTCAAGGCATTGCTATGAATGTGCCTTTAGCTGTTTTAGAATTTGGGGCAAGCATTTTATCATCAATACTGACAGAAACATTGCAGTGTGATTGCAGAGAGAAATGCACTGGCTTAATTTTGCCAAAAGATGAGTGATCAATAAAATATGTGGGAAAACAGCCAAGGAGATCTTCCTAGATATTGTCAGTGCCAGAGATGATACCAGGCTTTCAAGTTATTCAGGGTCTTAATTGTTTTGCTTTCATTACTGCGGATCAGGCAGGAACAAATAAGTTTTTAAAAGATAGTGGCATCCCAATTATACATTTCTCTTTTATTAGTTAGGAGTTTAATTATCACTGACGTCTAGGGCATGCTAAAGATTTTCATAATTTTGTGTTAACCCTGCTCACAGGATCCATATCTATTGAAAAATCCCAAGATCCATCTATTGAAAAAACCCAAAATCCATAGAAAAGTATAGAAAATCCCAAGGACATTCCATGATCAGTAAGGTTTTGGTGTCTGTATCTGCTTTGCTAACAAACTGTTAACAGGTGCTACAGTTTGGGTCTTGAATGTCCCCAAGGGACTATGTATGGAAGGCTTGGTTTCCATACTGGCACAATTGGGAGTTGGAAGAACATTATGGAAGTGGTCCTTAGAGAAGATCTTCATGTCTCTGGAGACGTACTCTTGAAGAAGCTTGTGGGACCTTTGTCTCTTCTTCTTCCTCCTTTGATTCCTAGCTTGATGACAGCAATGTGCTCTTCCAGGCACTCCACAGCATTGCCATCTGGCACACCCACCAGGGACCCAAAGCATGGGGTTCTCCTGATGTTAAACTAGAAACCCCTAAACTGTGAGCCCAAGTGGGCCTTACTCTTTATACGTTAATTATCTCAGGTGTTTTGTTGTGGTGACAGAAAGATGACTAACACAGCAGACTTGGTAAGGCTAAGGTAGGTCACCTTTATAAAGAAAGACGTTTGCTGTCACAGGGAAGACTTGGAAATTGATTTTTTGACTGTCCACAGTTTGATTGTAGTGAACAGAAAGTGTTTTAATCATCATAGGTGAACATGTGGTTCAGGCCATGATAAGATAGTTGTACAAATATATAAAGTCCCTTTGGATATACCACTGGTTCAAAAGCATTTTGTTTTAATGCTTAATCATATGGAATGATACTAACTTGATTTTATTCTTTGTAATTGCTATTACCCTTCTAAGACTGAAACTTAACAACATCTTCCAGAAAGCAGAGGTACTTATAGTCTAAATGGTAAGACATGAAAAAAAAAAAAAAGTAGATGCACAGTTTTTGATATCGGTTAACTTGGGCCAATATGTGACATAGTGATATAACTAATGTAAGCTTAGTTTTGTTGCCATAAATTTAATAAAGGACCTCTGCCTATGGGAGAGAAAATGCAAAATCAGCTTGCTAATACTCTGGTCAATTCATACCCAGGGTCAAGGACTTGAAAATTATGTGGTGAGAATATCATTTCCTTCCCCAGGGTGACCAGAAGAAACATCTTTGAAAAGATACAATACTGAGGAGTTGCAATAAAGTGTCTAATAACATTTGACAACAAGGTACTGCTATAAATACAGCTGGGAGTGAAGCAGAATAACATCCCAGCACTGTGGAGTGCACATTTTTGGGTGGGGAACCAGACATTAGCATAGTCAGTGAGTCACGTGTGCAGTGCAACATAGGGCAGCAGGTCCCCTGAAGTAAAATAAAGCGAGAAAAGGGGATTTTGACTGTTGACAGGTGAATTATAAATTTGGATAGAGGGATTAAGAAAGCACTCATTTAGAAAGTTCCTCAAGTTCATTGAAAAAATCCAGCTCTGAGAAAAACAGAGAAAAAGTCTTTAGTAAGAGGAAATTAACAAGTACAAAGGCCCTGGAAATGGAGGGTACCTGCAGTGTTTGGAAGGCTATGATAGAATGGGGGCGGAAGGTGCATATTCTAGGACAATTCAGTCCTAGTGTATGAGAACTGGCTCCAAGGTGTCCTGAGACCAGAGAAAGAGGTGAGGCCAACAGATCCAGGATTGGAGGGTGCAATAAATTGGAGAACTTACAGAAGCATGATCCTGGGTGGCAGCAAGACCAATTAAGATAAAAGTGACTTCATCAAAGCCAAATTGTACCTGGCTTATCTTAAGCTAGGAATCAGGCACACTCCTGGTGCCAGGGCTTAGTTAGAAAGTTCTAAATGCAATTAAAATGTTTCTATTTGTAGCATCCTGGGTTAACTATACAGGAAAACCCAACTGGGTTAACCTGACACAGTCATGGTGGCAGTGATTCAAGATGGCAGCATCCATGTTATTCCTACAGTGGCCCTTCCCTCAAGTCATTTGGCTATAAAGGGGCATGTTGGGGATGCACAACAGTAGCGTGGTTCATGCTTTGAGCCACCATGCCATGCCTTTTCTGGAAACAAGACCTGCTAAGATGTTGCTTTAGTTATTGAGCCAAGCTGGGCATTTGCAGGCTAATTTGGAGCACGAGAGAAGGTAAGAACTGTTGGCATCAGAAGTTATGGACCAGATATCAGTCCAGAGAAAGGAAGGAACAAAAAACAAATTACTCCATTGTCTTATCTGAGCCCAGGTAGGTATAGACATATCAAAGGAGATGGAGACCACTTGGGAGGGAACATATTTGAATAGGGAGCCCAGAATTCCAGTTTTGAATATATAAACTGAGGATCTGTTGATTATAAGAACATGTGTAATAGGTACCCTTAAAACCCAGAGAGTAGTCATGACATCCTTGGCAGTGGGGATTTTTATATATATATATGTTTGGATGTGACTTTATAAGATAATTTATAATGACCAGCTGGCTCCCACTGCTTGTGACCTCAGTGGGGGGCATATCACATCATAGCTGAGTACTGCTTCTCTGGCTCTACACATGTTAATACCCCAAGAGGCACCTTTGCTTTCTACCAGTGGCTTCTGTGCAACATCCTAGGGCAGGCTCTATTTTTATTAGCTTCCTTAGACATTCTCACATTCATGCAGATCTAAAAACTACTGTGCTGGAATTGAGGTTCTTTGATATAAGTGTGCTTAGCCTACCCTGTCATCACCAAAAATTAAAATGCAAAGGCAGCACAGAATGAGAAAATAAAGCCTATGCAGATGCAAAATCTTGTTGCAACTAC